TACAAAAAAAGATCAGAACCTGCTGATCCTGTTGAAAGGATAGAATTATCCAGCCTCTCAAAAGATTTAAGTGGAAATGCAAAAAGGAAGAGACCCCATTTTTAAAATCTGGGAACTGAGACAGGTATTTCAGGTCACTGCAGTAGAGTCCTTGCCTGCCCCAACGTCTCAGACCCAGGAGACTGTGCCCTGCATGGAGTGGGCACTCACACGCCCTTCACCTGAGGTCTGGGGCTTGACATCAGCAAGTCTTCTGACAGCTGCAATCTCCATTTCATGCCGCGCCTTTCTGTGAGATGGAGGTCACTCAGTTTGCAGTTTGTGAACGAGGCAGTGCATAAAACCTAACTCTGCTCTATTTGTGGCAAGCCTTGGGGTAGACTGAGGAGGAGTGATTTAAAGCAACAAGTCTTTAGCAGGAGCAACTGTTAAAGATCCCCTCTTCTCCCTCCTACACCTACCCACTTGTGAGAGTCATCAGGAGATGTGGCTGGAGAGGCAGAGACCACTGAGGCCTTTTCTCTGTCTGGTCAACATCTCTTTAATGGTTGATATGCTGTGTCAATTTGAGAGGTCAGAACTTAAAATGACTCAGCAGGGAACCAGGAGCCTTATTTTGTAAATATCCTTATCTCTGCAACAGGAAGGCAGGGAGATTTTGTGAGTGTTACCTGGGCCCTGGCAGAGGTGGAGGGCAGTGGGATGGGGTGGGTGTGTGACTGTGTACAGGGTAAGGGAGGAAGAGAGACTTACTCTTTGCCCTTTTGCTCTGGCTGCTGCCTTAAAGTGTTGCCATGTGCCATGCCACCTCCCTTGCAGCCAGCTGATTATAGGCTGAAACCTCCACAAACCGTAAGCTATATAAACCTTTCCTTCCTTCATTTTAGGTGTTGAGTATTTTGTCCCTGCAATGCAAAGTGATCAAAACAATCTCATCATTCTAGACTTGGCTAAAATGCTATGACCCTGAAGTGAAGTCTACCTATATAACAAATCAAGTCTACCTATATAACACACTTTCTAGTATCTCCTGTGAAGCCCCCTACTGCAGTGATACAGGTTAATCTAAAAATCTGAAATCCAGAATGCTCCAAAGTCTGAGTTGTTTTGGGTGCCGAAATGACACCTGGGCAGCAATCACAATGTAGACATACTAAAAATATTGGATAAATTACCTGTAGGTAAATGTGCATTAGGTGCTTATAAAACATAAATATGTGCTTTGACTTAGGTCCTATCCCCAAGATATCTCATTATGTACATGTAAATATTCCTATATAAAAAATTCTAAAATCTGAAATACTTCCAGTCCCAATTATGTCAGATAAGGCACACTTGATTTGCAACTCCACTGAATTACAGTGCTATCCTTTTCTTCCCAAATCTGGGCTCTTCTGTCCATTTCATTGATTTCAGCATTAGAACTCATCCCTGCGTGTTATCAAAAGTCTATGAAAATAATATATATACTTATACTATATGCGAAGTTTGATGTAAAGAATGTATTTTTATTAGAAATTAATCTTGCTTGGGGTCCAGTTCTGCCAAAGAAGATCTAAAATTAAAATGATCATGTTACTTATTATTCACAAGGCTATTATTACTTTCCAGATGAGGAGGTAGAGATGCAGAGTTTGGATAACTTATCTCTAGTCACACCCATAATGGTAGAGAAACTTGGAATGGAGCTCAAGGCTTCTAGCGTCTGTGTGCATGCGCTCTTATCCATGGAGATAAATGTTTCCTGTCGTGATGTCTGTGATTCAGTGCCCTGAAACTTGTTCTAGTCTTTCATTCTCTACTCTATAATAATTTTTCCCCTGTACTTTCTGTATTTCATCCTGCCTTGTTTAATTCTCAGTACTCCTGAAAAGGTACTTGCGGGATACCTCTAGTGCAGCGCATGCCTGGGAAGCACAAGGTCTTGAGTTCGATTCCCAGGTCAAAAAAAAAAAAATGCAGAGGTCTTTTTCAGCATACAGGAATGCAAGTAGGACCTCTCAGGAGAGCAGGGTACACTTGATTCAGACAAAATGCCACCTCATATAAAACTTCTCAAAATATAACAGCGTAGTCATCCAAGCTTGCTCCAATATGGCAGGCTGTTTTGTGTCTCAGTTCAATCCACACAGCCCTGGCCTAGAGAATTGTCTACACAACCTGGGTAAATGATACTAGTTATGGTACAAGTGATCATTCTGCTAGCCTGGGGATGCAACTCAGAAAGGATCAACAGGGAGAATACAGCCAGGAGGACGGAGGGGACTTCAATTTAAATCACAGCATAAACTTGTTGTTTGGGGGATCCTGCTGTATTCTGTGTGTAGATGTGATGGGGGCTCAGCACATCCAATCCTGAAATGTAGGACATAAAAGGATGGGGACAGGACTCTGGAGACACAGATACTAGAAGCAAGCTGTTCGCTGCAGCCAGAAAGAGGGCACAAAATAGAAATAGGTCTTTACGTGTCACTGAGAAGAAAAAATGGTAACATGGTCTTCTCCTGGCTAATCACAAGAATAAAAGCAAAGGAACACAGATCCAAAGAGCTTCTTAGCACAGAAAAAAAAATAATCCCACCTTAAAAAAAAAAAAAAAAAAGAGCAGAGAGGCATTTGCTGTTTTTAGTGTTTTTCTAAATAGTTTGGTGCCACTGAAAAGGGAACAAGCATTGCCAAGGAAACTAAATGTCCCACAGACTTCTCGTTTCCTCAGGAGCCAGGGACATTTGGAAAGCTTTGAGCACTGTGAAAGGGAATGTGTGGTTTGCGCAATTTTTTTTAAAACTATGGTTTAATAAGGAAATGCACACTGCACAGATCTAAAGTCTTGGGTAAATTGGTCTTGTTTCTATCTACTTTCTAGACAGCAGTAATGAACTCACACCTGAGATAGAGATGGATAAACAAAATTGGTTACCATGGAACTTGCAAAGCTCATCTGGCCCAGGGAGTAACCCATCAGGTCAATGTGTCTATCGTGGACTTTGGACTCTGGCAAGATCATAGGTATTTTCTCCCTCTCATCTTCAAATTGCTGGATGTCCCAAGTCATCATTCCTTTCTGAGATTTTTAAAGGCATCTTACTTAAGTCTTTATATGCTTGACACCCCTTGGCACATTCTAGCTCTAACCTCTGAAGAAGAGGCAGCTTCTAATAAGAGACAGGGATTGAGGCAAGTTATAAATTAGGTGCCTTGGAAAAACATAAAGTAGCCCAAGTTTGGTTCTGATGTGATGAGGAAGACACTGGGGATAGGTTTGAGCAGAAGGTGCTGAGCATGGGCTCAGCAGATCGATTGCAATGAAGAGAGGAGATGCAGGGAGACTGCCTGGATACTGCTTCATCCAGTCAGGCTCTGTATTCGCTGACTTGGTCAGGCTCAGATCAAAAATACCTGAAAAAAACTGCACACGCATCACAAATGGATGGAATTATTTTATTATTCTCTAAGCAATATAGTGTAGTAACTGCATAGCACTTGCACTGTATTAGGTATTATTAATAATGTAGAGGTGATTTAAATTATGTGGGAGGATGTGTGTAGAATATTTTAAAAAACAATTTCATGTTATATAAGGGAATTAAATATCTTGGGATATTGGTTTTTTGGGGGAGGGGGTACTGGGATTGAACTCGTGACCTTGCACTTGCCAGGAGGTGCTTATGCTGTTGAGCTAAATCCCTGGCCTCATCTTGGGATATTTGGAAGACTCTGGAAAAATCCCTTGTGGACGCATAGGGATTACTGCACTGGAATTTTTGCAGGCTGATGTGTTTAAAACACATGTGCAATTGACCATGTTCTTAATTTCAAATAGCTATGGTTTCTAAGGTAAATAGGGGATTAAAAAAGGTGATTTTCATCTGAAGAACTCCAAATTTAGGTCTGCTCAGCCTGTTTCCCTAAGCGTTTTAAACACATTCTTCAAAACTTCCTGAGTCTCAGATTCCCCCGCTTGCCAAGTTGAGCCAGCTAGATATCAGAACCTTTCCAGGCACACAGGAAAAATCAGCTAGCTCTACACGACAGAGGAAAGAACACAGGCGCCAGCTCAGCACAACTACACATATGCCTTTTAGGAACCTCATCAACAACCCTCTGGCAGAACTTTCTCTTCCATGTCTCTCAAATTCTATAGATCAGAAAGCTACAACCACTGGGTACTCGCAAACCCTTTAATAGAAATAGCTATCAAAATCTGTTTAAACCATCTGTTTGTTTGGCAGCTTTTCTTTCCAGTGTTTTTCTTTTACATTTTTTTTTTGTTAACAAAAAAATCTATTCTAAAATAACTACAATGTTATGACTAAAAATGCCAGAGGTATATATCCAGTTTATGAGACAAATTGCTTTCTAAAGAGGAGTTAGGTTTATCATGTGTGGAGCAAGGCAACGTTTCTACAAATATTATAGTTGTGCTAAGAAAATAACCAACTACTTTCATTAAAATACAAGATTTGTATTTGTTCATGTAATTGAATTTAACGCTGCTGAAATTTCTCAGCTTGAAAGCTATTGAAGTTTATGCCATATTTTTTTTTTTCACAAAGGAAAATTACCTAAGAAATTGTCTCTTAGCTTATGGAGAGCAGGGCTTTTGCTGACCTTAAATGGTTGTGAGTCAACCACTGCATGGATTTTCATAACACCTTCAGGGACAATTTTATTTTATTTCTGAGAGGAACACTAGCAGGGTGGTCAATGTTTATGGAAAGGTCATGCTTATGACCTGTCCACCAACTCTTTTCCATTTGGTATCTGCTGTTATAGATACCAGTGACTATAAAATCTGAAGCCATGTGCATTTTCATTCCCTCCACTGGCTTTGTGGCTGATTTTTCCTTCTATAGACTTGCTGTATTATAGCAGCAAACTATCTTACCCAGTCCTACAAGACATGACATAACAAGACATGTCTTATTATCTTTATAACATCAGCAAAAGTCTGCACTCCATATCTAAGATGTCAATAATATAGTTTCTCTGTCTCTCACCTGGGTTCACCTTGGTTGATGGACATGTAAATCTCCCAGGAATTCTCCTCTGGAATGGCGCCATGTGGTATGAGTAAACTGACCCCTGTAACAGAAAAAGCAGAGCTTATTCATCAGTTTTTTCCAATTGTTTTGAAGTACCCTGCTTGAGCACTTCACAGGTGTCTATAAAGAAAGACTTTCTCATGGCAACTTGTGAAATCCCAATCTTTGGAAAATTTACAGAGTCCAAGATAATAAGGAGAATGCTGTTTTATAACAGGTACAAGAGAAGAAGCACATTACTCAGCTGAGTGCTCAAATGAGTCCATTTATTTATTTATTTATTTATTTATTTTTTTTGTGGTCCCATGGATTGAACCCAGGACCCAGAATATTAGGCAAGTACTCTATCATGGGAGCTGTATTCCCAGCTTGTTGATGTTTTAGACTTTATTTTAAACCTTCCTGGTATATTTTAGTTCTCTTAAAAAAAACTGGGTGTCCTAAAACCAATTATTATTAAGCGTACCTGAAAATACAAGAGTTTATCAATATATCAGTTAATTTGCTCCAGAATTTAAGTGTTACTTCCATTAACGTGCAAAAAAGTTAATGGATGATGGATGTGCTAATTCTTTCCTTCAATCTGTTATGAAATTGTCTTACAAAGCACGCATCAGGAAGTAAGCAGAGAGCTGGGTTCAGAGCTGCATCTTGTTAGGAAAATAGAAAAGGTAAAAACATCTGGTAAACCTAGAAACCTTCTAGGTTATTGTATAACCAACGTGGTCTTAAGTTTGTAAATCGAACTTGGAAAGAGCTAAGGCCAAAGGTGACACAGCCATATTCACTTCAATGTCAAAAATCCCGCCATCCTACTGTAATAAAATCCTATAATGCGGGAGAGAAGACACAGAAAGCCACAAGTTAATGTCCCTTTTCTTCTTCATTTCCCAAAAGAAAATATACCACTTTGGCTGAGAGAGACACTTGAGGAGATCTGGGATTCTCCTTAATGCTGACTCTTGTTCACAAAGAGAAATGAAATACTGAAACAGTAAGTTATTGACAAACTGAAATCTCATGGCATTTTCCTATATTTTCAATAATGTAGTGCTTGCCTTTTCCTCTTTCATTACACAGAAAGCTTTCAAATTGCTAATAACAATTTAAATATAAAGATGACAGGTTTTCCTGGTCTCCGTCAATATACCTGTTAGTAGGTAGAGTCAGAGAATGCAAGACTTGTTGTAAGACAAGTTATTTGTGATTTATATTTGTACGCATTATTCAGTCACATGCTACTTATCACCAAGATCTTTCAATAGCTCTAAGGAGGAGGTGCATTTAAATCTTGCCCATAGCTTTTCAGCAGGGCCCTCTATGTTCTGGACCTTCCTGTTGATGGTAGGAGAAATGCATCTGCCACTCTCAGGAACCCTGTCAGGGTTCCTTGCGTGCCCCAGGCTTCCTTCAGTGCAGCTGCCCCATGGAGTGGTGCCTTCAAACCCTTCCCTGCTGCTGAACACACCCTGGAAAGCAGAGGGTTCCCTATGTCTGAGCGCCAGCTGGAGCACGTGCCCTCGTCATTCTGTCTTGTTTTAGTTTGTCATAGCACTTTCTGCTGCTTCTCTTTTAGGTGCTCTAGGCCAGGAAGACGAAGAGACACAATCCCTGTCCTTCACATGGAGAAGACAGCAGGCCATGAGTAAGTGGTAATGCCTGCCACCTCACAGCACCAGAGCCTGCCTGGCACAGAGTGGGAACCTGGTGAACACGTGAATATATGAACGATGGAACACACAGGATTCAAAATTCTCAGTGAAAAGGAGAGGCTTAGAGTCTTGTTATCTTGTATAAATTGTCACATCCTTATGCTCTACTTCCTGATCCAAAGAGAAGAAATATGGCAGAGGACACTTGAGAAAGGAGGTCTGCAGAATGCATCATGTCTCATTCCTTTCAAGTTGGCTTGATTCTCTGTGTTAATACTGAAACATTATTTATGGTTTTCCTAAATTCAATTTGAATACATAGGATCACTGACGCTTTAAATTAACTTCCTGTTTCCTTTTCTCAGAAGTGTTATTATTGTCTTTCAGGCGTATTTCCCTCCTTCTACCCTAACATGCAAATTGCATGTGGAGACTGACGACGGTCAGGAAGGGTGGCAGGAGGGTGGACTGGCGGCAGGTGATATGTTATGAAGAATGAGAGGCACTGCAGGACAGTTTTACACCTGTCGTCTCGTAAAGAAATACCCATTTTCAATATGTCATCCATCAGTTATCTCTGGTTAAAGGAAGATATATACTCCTCTCCTCAAACTCCACCTGCTACTTTGGCAGCCTTTTATTTGACATGACAACAGAACCACCTGTCTGAGTTTCCTCTTTCATATTTTACATAATAAATGATTTCCAGAACATACCATCTGACAAGTTGGGATGGATGGTATTACAGCAATCTAATTTCTATGCTTTGGATCCTTACACTTCATCTCCCCAGGGCATATTTTGCATTTAAGTCCTGTGAAGTTACAGGGAATACATTTCACTCCCCGCACTTATTTTCCCCCTAATTCATTCTTAGTAAACATCTTCAATCTTATCCATTGTGTCTTGGTCAGGAGCTTTGAAAATACCCTTTTCACAGAGGAACTGAGCGGCATCACTGACAGTACTATCAGAATTTTAGTTTTTAACTGTATTACTTCTCAGAGAAGGAGAGGGAGAAAAAGAAAAATCTGTGTCATTACAATTTTATCTCTTCCCTTTTTCTGGTGAACATGAAACAGAGATGAGGGATGGACAGGTCTTGGCATTTTTTCAGTATGCATAAAAAAGCATACACACATGAGTATATAACAAAAGGAGAAGACGAGAAGGGGTACTGGCCAAACCACTTAAGCAGTGGACAGTGAGAGTCTCCTAATAGCCGAGCCAGAGCTAGAAAGAGATGAAAATCCAGGTGCAGTGACTCAGCTTGGGATGTCATATAAATCTGATGTGTGTATCTTATTCTTTGAGAGAGCAAAGGTTGTGTGTATCACTTTTCATTCTCCAATACCCACATTTTTTATGAATGTAACTGACTATGAGTGGTATTTATGCCTGCCTGATTCATTTGAATTGTCTCCCATCTGCCAATTATCAAAACTCCAGAACCAGAACCCCGAACACTGCCAATCATCAACAGGAAAAATTATACACTCATATACATTGAAGCAAGACTGTAATCATGTTCCAAAACATGGATCAAAATAGATTTGAAGAACTGAGAGCCTATGAAAACATAATAATTATTAGGACTGCACTGGAGGACTATTTTTAAAAATCAAAATTTATTTTAATTATGTGGGATTTTTTTTTTTTGTATCGGGGGGGTCAAACTCACAACCTTAGTGCTTTGCCTTGTGTGTGCTGTACTGCTGAGCTGTATCCCTGGCCCCAAAATTTATTTGAAAATGTTTTAAAGGAAGCAGTCAATCTGGGATAGAAAAAAGCGATGTTCACCAATTTAAGACAAAGTTCAACTTCAAGTCAGTGAACTGTCAGTGGAGGGACTGGTTGGCTAAGCGGTGGCCTCAGACTAGTCCTATTACTGCTTCCATTTTGTGAGTTAAAATGTTGGTTAACTCTACCTTCTGGAGAAACGTGGAGACTTTAGTTCTGTTGTTATGACACTCACGGACAGTGGATCTTGCCCTTTGGAGGAGCGAGGGGGGCCCTGTCTGATTTAGCATATTATCTACTTCGCACTCCTTAGAACTCAGATGAGAAACTGACCTCTCCTGTCACTCAATTAATTCTGAGGAAGCAACTCAAGAAGATTAATCCATAGGTACGATATCATTTCAAAAGTGATTTGGACAGCTGAAAGTATCCTGTTATAACAACCAGGAAATCTAACACAATGGAGGAAAAAATGCCAAGAGTTAATGGTACTTATAGCTCAGCCCTGGAATGATGGTTTAATTCCAAAGAGCAACTCCGTGGTGATTCTTCATCATTGTTCTTCGTAAAGTAGTGTTTCCAGTGAGGTCCATGGGCTAGGAGAGGCAAGTTATTGATGCAATTTGAATGTTATTTCACTGCATAATCAGCCTAGATGTAAGCCATTCTTGTATATCAACTCCATGCTAATCAGTCATGTCAAAGAATGTTTTTGGTGCTTCCTGATGACATTCTAGGTAATATTTAAAGGGGCTTAAACCTTGGGGACTTCTCCTCAGGCCTGCTGAGTGAATATGGGCATCAGCCCTCCCAGGGTTCATTGCATTCTGAGATGGAGACCACGAGGTCCGGTTCAGGGTTGGTTCTGGTTTGCAATGTACATCAAGTAGATTGTTGGAGGCACGACATTTGCGGCTCTGACAAGGGACTGGTAAACATACAGTGAACCCACCAGGCTGCAAACCTCTAAATGAAAGGTATTTAAACAAATGCTAAGGAATGCATGCTATAGGTTCACCACATACCTGTGTTTGGCATGACTAAACGCCCCCCTAGGTGGCCAAAGACACCTGTTGTCCTCAGTTCTGTCCTTGTGGGGAAGGATGACAGGTTTTGGATGTAGGGCATCTTGTTTCTGGGATGCACTGTACTGAAGCCACGGTTGTTTCCATGGGGAAAGGTCCCCGAGTGATTCTTGCCATGGTACTCTGCTCTTTCTGACACTCCCAGGGAGACCATGAAGGAGCTCTGGACTTTGACCTTGATGTCTGACAGAGGGTTGAAGAGTGAGGACTCTGTCATGAGCTCCTTGTCCAGTGGGTCCTGTAGACAGATGGGGCCACTGTATGTGCGGCTCACTGTCAGGTCTGGCTGCATGGCAGGGTTCAGGAGCAGGGAGTTACCTAGTGAAAGAAAACTGATCTGTCACTCAGACACTAAAAGACACCTCCATTACCCTTCTACAATTGTTTCTGCTGACCACAGGGCCACCTACGTGATGGCTAGCTGCTGGGATTCAAGCCAGCATACCAATCCCACCCTCCCACCTGGAGCAAGTGGACCAGGCCTTGGAATCAGGAGGATCCTCCCCATCCAGTTTTCCAAATGCCATGGACCAAAATCTCCCCTTTCTGAAGTCTTCAGATTTCGTCTTTTCAAAGTAAGTATTGCTGGTAGTCAGTCAGGTAACTGACTCAGCTTCTGTTGTTTATGAGCTGATTTTAACTGGCAAAGAGAAGCTAACAAAAAAAAATGTTTTTGCAATTCAGTGTGGAGCAAAAATAACATCTGCTCATTTTAAATCGCAAGTGATGACACAGCAGGGTGACGAGGTAGTGTTGCTTGTAACAATGCTTTGTTGGAATTGTGGCACTTTTTGAAGCCAGGGGAGTAAACGATGTGTCTGCAGAACCAACGGGTCAAGGAACCTCAGGAATCGCTCCGTGTCTGAGTAGCTGACTTGCTTGAATGCTACCTATGTCACTCTGAGAGGGAAGAAAGAAGCATATTGGGACAGAGCAGCTCAGATTCTACATGGGGAGCAGCTCAGAATAATGTGCTTTCTGTCTCAAAACAAATGGAAAAAAAAAAAAAACAGTCTACAAAAACATAAGAAATTGGACTTTGTCATCTGTTGGGGCTTACTAATGTTTTTCCGAGCCAAATATGAAAAGGAAACACTGTGATATTTTCTTGTGATGAAGTAATCTCATTTATTAGTAACTAACAAAATAGCCCTCAGTCCCAAGCCACCCGCCCATATCAGTCCGTCAATATGACATCTCAAATTGAAACCCAAGCCATATTAAACAATTTTCCTTTGGTGCCTGACCAAAATGCTTAAAATATGATATTTTTTGAAAATGTTGCAATTCTGGGCCATGTTGTATTAGCCTCTATTGTGTTTCCCTTTTCATAATTTGTAACGATGCCAGCAGGAAATCTATAACTCTGCCTTCTTCCGCATTTTGTTTAGAGGCTCTTAGAATCTAGACTCCCAAAAATACGCACAAATGAGATGAAATAACATTGTAGATCTAAAGCCTCTTTCATGGTGCCTGAGTTTTTCACACCTCGGGCTGCAGGGCCAAGACACAGGCACCAATGAGACTCTGCTTTTTAAAAGAACCACACGGACCTCTCCAGGTCCTGACCTTGCTCTTGTTTATGGTCTTCTGGACAAGAAGTGGGACCAGAGAGTCATTCCAAAACTGAAAAGAAGTCTCCATGGAGACTTCAAAATTTTATCCCTGAGTCTCTTGGCTATTTGATCTCAAGCCCTAACCTTTTGAGGCTTAACTTTTACCTACACTTAAAAGGCCCTCCTCACTTAGGAGAAGCAAAGAAGGAAAAAAGCAAAAGTATTTCCTGGCTGTCGCCAGCGCAGGCATGGAAAATGTCTCAGTAAAAAAAAGGGTGTGTAACAGTCTACAGTTAAAGAGTACCAGAAGCTACTTTTGCAGAAGTCTGACCAGTGAGAGTCACCTACCCTGGTCTCTCAAATCTATCCTTTGGAATCTCTTTCCAAGTCCATGGTCTAATTATGACATTCATTCATATTCTGTTCCTGTCTCTCTGTCTCTCTATTGCTGAGATGGAACTCAGGGCTTCATGCATACTAGGCAAGTGCTCTACCACTAAGCTACATCTCTAGTCCATGACATTCTGTTTAACAGCCTTTCTATCCCCCTTCCTGGGTCCCCAGATATATTGCTGAAGATTGATCTCTAAGGTCGAGAGGTCAGAACTACCCACTTTGAAATACAGCGTCACAATGAATATATGGGGATTAGCAATTACCAAAGGATTTTCCCTTCTCTCTCTCTCATTCTTGACCAAAAATAAACCAGATGGTCTGTAACTTGGCAAGGCAACATATTCTCTTGGAGACCACAGTGCATACAAGGTCAGGGATGTATCTTCCTAAGGAGATGTAAGTAAGCTTTATAAGCTAGTGTTTCCCACTTGCTGCTTGGTGTTCTGGGCAGCATGCTGACATCCGATGCTAAGGGGAGAGGAAATTACCCCCTTCTAGAACTACGTTCATTACATTTATGACACTCCCATATGCTTAGCTATCTTAGTCTTGGTAATTTCTTTCTCCTGAGAACACTCTGAGGTGGATATTTTATATCTGAGGTGGATTATTTTATATCTGTAAAAACTATGACTCCAGGATAATTGATTAAACAGAAATACACAGAAGTTTTAGACTCAAAGCTAACTCACTTTAAAGTTTGTGGACTTACATACAGTATCTCATACTGCCTAATATAGTTCCTCCGTTTGTTTATGGTCTCAGACACGGCCATCTTATTATTTGAGGTAACATATTTCTAGTTCTCTATGTTGTATAAAAATCAGCTCTTCACTGGATTTATAACAAATTAAATCACATTTGTTCAGTCAGTCTCTCGAATCCAGAACATTCACTGGTCTGGAAGGCTGGACACTGAGGTGCCCGTGGCTAAGTGGCATGAGGGGAAACTTGTATTCTCCTGGCCATCTCTCAGTTGTGTTTCTCTTTTGTTTTCTAGAAGGTGTGGATTTCCATTTCAGTGGGCCATCTCCTCAGACAGCTCTAAGCACTGGGATTTCTCTGCCTATGCCACAGGCGTTACTGACTCACAGTAAATAGAAACAGGGCTATAACACGGATGTTCAGGGTCAAGGTAGCAAGCAGCATCTCCTGAAGAGCAATGGTGTCAGTTTCTGGGAAATGAAAGGCAGGAATGGCTCATCTTTACCTTGCGGTCAGGAACAGATTTGGTTCATCTAAGAGAATTAAGTGATTCTGTGTCTTGAAGATGAGTATTCCTATAGTTTGACATGATAGATGTCGCTTGCCCTGCTACATAAGATTGCTTGGACTTGGTGACAACTGAGAGTCATTCAGGCTGCAGTTTCATTTGTTCCCCCGGCTAAGTGACCCTTGATGTATTTTTTTAAAGTCTTCTTACTTATTTAAAATACAAGAAACCAAAATCTAGTGTAATAAATACACTTGGGAGCTTGTGGCCTGGGATTTGATCCTTACCTTGAAGTCAGTGTTTTAGTTAACTAAATTAAATATGTATCTTCAAATCAGCCTTCTTCAAAGAGAAAGTTGGATCATTTGAGATAAAGTAACTCATTAGGCTCACTATGCATCAGAGATGGAACTGCCTCATTTAAAATGCGGCTGATGGTGACCTGAGAGTCACTTGTCCTTGTGGGAGCTAAGGATGTCAGCAGACCGCCCCTTCATGCTTGGGTCTGTAGTGTAAGAACAATTCGGCAGCGGCTCCCAGTGCCAAGAGCTACCTTCACACAGGCTCCCAAGAACTCTGGGGTCCCTGTGCAAACGTAGCCGCTGGTCCTGAGGATGAGGTATTGGGGGACCTACGCCGCTGACCTTGACGGACCGTTTTGAAGTTGAAGGTCTGGAAACCACCTGTCAATGCAGAAGAGTCGATGACGTCCACGCCGTAGTCACTCTGGCTCCGTCTGTAAAGGGTGACTCCGATGACCAAGACTGCAACGGCGACAACCGCAGCACCCAGGCCCGAATAGAGAGCGATGTCGCTGGCATTCTCAATGCCTGGAAGACACAAGAGGATCCCTAAGTAACCACCCTGGGGTACAAGATGAAACTCTACTGGAGGTTTGGAGTTATTGGTCATAGAAAATGATGTATGTAGCTAGCCATGAGTTGTATTTTCATTCGCACAATAATCCTGTTTTTCAAATGCCTTGTATAAATCAAAATGATGCTAGCCAAATACCTTAACTGCATTAAGTAGCTTACCATGTAATAGACTCTTGCAGAGAATCAATTTTGTAAAGAACATAAAATTTTTTTCTAGTAAAAACAGGCAACTCCTTAATATACATATTTTAAGAAGTTATTTACCTTCAAAGTATATCTTATCCTTTATTTTTATTGATAGAGGACAGATTCACACAAATGACAAATAAAGTGGGACAGCTCAGCTGGTTGATGATGGGGGTACATGCATTTGCAGACAGTGGTGTAGGGCTAGAAGTTAACCCATGGTCCATGAGTTGGGAGAAGACCAGAGCTTACGAATAGGAATTTTAGCTTTGACACAAGTCCTTCAGATTCCGAGACACGGACAACCTCAGTTCAGGGCATATACAATCATTGTCATGGTGTTTGGCATGGATGGTGAAGGTCTTGGTCCCAGGGGCTCTTATGTCCATGGTAATTACTTTCTGGCCTCAGTTAGATACTAGACTCCAGCACTATTGTGGGGAGGACTGGTCTCTCAGAGGGCACATGCTGTTTCTCCCATACCTCTCCTACTCCATCCTATTGAATGCATGGGCAAAGCAAAAATAAAAGCGTTAGTTTTTGAATTTAGAATGTAGGTGTCTCCCCACCCCCAGGATGTGCCACAGCGGCTTTTCAACTCTTTTCCCCGAGGAGCGTTGCATGTACTTTATCCTTGTGGCCAATTCATGATGGCTGCTGCACTTCAGCCTCGGGGATTTATTTGAGACAGTGTAATCCTAAAAGAGGTGTAATCTCAGAAAATGTGTAGAAATGGAAGGTGGCAAGAGCTAACTAGGTAATTAATCTCCCTGCAGATTATGTGGTAAGTTCACTTAATGGGTCCAAAAGTAATTACAATGTTGCCCTGTGTTGGGCTGAGAGGATAAAATAAACCCATCATATATTTACCTGGTAATTGCATGGCACTTAAACTACACATTCACCGCACCCTAATATGGTACTTATGTTATCAAATAAGTAATACTAACCACACAAGTAAAGTGGATTTATTTTCAACAAAGTTAGTGGACTGTAAAATAAGGTGCCTCCAAATTAAAGTGTGAACAAGGAAATCAAGCAGAACCGGCCAGTAATAGGGCAGTAAACACACACAAATAACATGCAAGAGAAAGCACAACCATCCAAAAGAAGAGTTTCTGAAAGGTCAGAGATTTATTAGATACATTCAATAACTACAACACACGGTGAGACTCATTCAGACCTTGGCTCCAGCTGCATGATCACCCCAGTGAGACAGGAATGGGCATGCGGGCCAGTGCTGTAACCACCAGAACCATAGGCACGCTGACCAACACCCAACGCAGCATCGCCCTGTCTTGTCTGTCCATGTCCTCTGGAGGGAGAGGGGCAGTCACTGACCTACTATTTTCCTACCCTCCCCTGCTTGCTGAAGCTGCGGGGAGAGAATAATTAAACCTAAAACAAAGAGAGGGCACGGAACACAGCAGATGGGCTGGGCCAGGGCACCAGGCAGCGAGGGGACTTTGGATTTGGACCAATTGCCTTCTTCCTCCCTTCCCTCCAGTTCCTTGGGCACCACTGACTGATAACACTACCATCCTAAAAGGTGCATCCAGGAGGACACACCTGCTCAGGAAATGAGTACACACAAGCACAGCCTGTGGGGTACCGAGCACAGCTGCTATGCTGCAGAGTTGGCAAGACAGACACAAAGACACCCTTCGCATCTCAGGTACCAGACTGTGATGGACCGGAAGCCAGCAAGATGACCAAGGCAAAAAAATCCAACCTGCAAATAGGTACTCCTGACAGGGACCCAGTGAGACAAAACAGAGGTGCAGGCACATGTTGCTGTGGTTGCCCTGGATTCCTACTTTGTCTTTTCTGTGTCCACTCTTGTACTCAGGTAATTAGAATTCTGTCTCTCAGTTTTAGCAAAGAATCCTACACATGACCTCAGACCCAGTTACAAGGTCTGATATGGCTCAATATGTTCCTCTCGTAAGAAAATATATAGAATTCATTTGACTTAAGTTGAGAGAATAAAATAAAAAATTATAACACTTTACAAATAAATAGAGGGACATCAGGGTTAGGGTGTGGAAAGAATGGAGAAAGACCAGCATGGGGTACTACTGGCTGCCCACGAGGCTCACTCTGACCCTGGGAGAGCCAGGCACCAGGAGAGAGATTCCTAGAGAAAGAAGAGCAAAGTGATATTGACTTCATAAGAATGGTTTGTCTTGGAAATTGCAAATAATTTCATTAATTCAACAAACACTTTGAGGACACTCATGCAAAAGAAATGCGAATACACGGGAGAAGTCTCCAAGGCGGAAATTATCAGTCATTTATCCTCTAAAAGACAGACAGTGCCAAGGCCCTGGCATTCCGGAAGTAGCTGTAGAGGGATACACTAACACCCCAACCCACACTTTGTATCTCAAGACATTTAATCAGACATCCTTACCCAGAGCAACTTCTTCTAAAGCTGAATCACGTGCTGTCTTCTCTTCTTTTTTCTTTCTTCTTTTTTCTATCTACCTGTGTACGCTTTACCTCATTCTTTTTTTTTTTTCCCCCTTTCTGTCTTGTTTTCTAAGCTCGCTATCTAAGAGCACGGAGTGGCTTTCTGTGTAAGAATTTTCACGTATTCACAAAACACACAGCAGTCCTTTCCTATGTGTTCAGAATTGGTTCCAGGAAGCCCTGAGGTGTCCATGTTTTCCGTGCTGGCTTCATGGGAGAAGGGAGGGAGGTGTGTGTGTGTGTGTGTGTGTGTGTGTGTGTATGCATTGATCACAGATGCACTGGGATGGCATCTGCAGAATCATCCCATGTACATGCACGCGCGTGTGTGTAAAGCACATACTCGGCTCATATCAGGATACTGGACTGCCTGAGGAAAACCACCGCCATTTATTACCAGTAAAATTGCTGCTGCCACATGATTGCATGATACAGTCCCTTCCTGGGGTTTGATAGCTTTCTTTGCATCCTCTCCTGTGCTTCTGATTTCTGGCCCTTGCTATATACTGTTAACCCAAATTCGACTGTGACCAATTTAACTGTTAAGTGGATGCCTGACTACAAAAGGAGGTGGGTAGTGGTCAGGGTCACCTGCCCTCTGCACCCTGCTAGGCACTCATGCCCTGACTGTGCCTACGTGTCTGTCCTTAGCCTGTCTCCCTCTCTCCTTCCCTCACAGTGACTATCTCGGTCAGTACAGCCAATACCACCAACCTGTAGAACTGCAAACTCTTATAGACATTGCTCAAAGTTCTAACATCTTATTTTGGATAGCACTTTTCTATTATTAATTATTGGAATGACAGTAAGTTGGTTTGTTCCCCCTACTGCTTTCAACTCTTCATAAGAAGCACTAGCTCTGTAATTTCCCCTAGAACATTCTAAATCATTGCGGCTCATGGACTGCTTGCCTGGCCTCCAACTGTGAGGAGAGAAATTTTAAAAACTACAGAATTCCCTTTTCATTTGCATTTGCACGCAGGATTATCCCTATGGGCTACCCTTCCAGCACAGTGTTACCGGTTTATTTGCTCAAAGTGATTTGGAACAAAAGCACAGACAGAAAAAACGCTGTTCTTTTTGTGAGTATAGGATACTTTTCTCTGCCTTTGCTTCATAAATAAGGCTTTCTGTATCAATATGTTACTGATGTCTTTCCTGCCTTCTTCCTGCCTATTTTCCTCTATTCAAGAGGCACAAAAGCTTAAGGCAAAGCTTGGAAGGATTCCACACTTGGTAGAAAAAAGCTGTTGTGTACAGACCACAGGTATCAACAAAAAAACAGGAAACCGAAACCCAAAGAACCTATTGAAAAATCTCTTGTATACCAAATTACTCAGCAACTACTGAGGAATGTGCTCCCTGCTGGGTGGAGTGTGGACCATCTACAGAAACATGCTGCAAAGATGAAGAGGGCCAGAGACTGAGACTGCAGGGAGAAAGTATTTATAGGTTCATTCGGCCTGGAAATACAGAGTTGTAAAGTAACTTCTGCATAATCCGAAGGCAAAAGGGTTGTTACTGTGTACCTACAGCAGGTATTCAATGGCCATTTATTTATAAGAAAGCAAGTAACCAACACTTTGCCATCTCTAAGGAGGACTGAAAAGGAGGACATGCCCTCTTATTATAGCAGTTGGGACTCCAGTTAGATATTAAAACAACCTTTCCCACAGTGAGGGTCATTAAAACCCCAACTATGTTTGTGAGGGAGACTGTGCAATCTAATCTCCTTTCATCAACTCTCTGAAAACCACCAACTTTATAACAGTTTGCAATTATTTTATTTTAGTGATCTGGTCAGGGTTGGTGAGGACAAAGTGACCTTTCCAAGTCCCTTTGAATTTCATAGTTTCAGAAACAGATATTAACAAGTTTGATGGCTTTTATGAATTATAATCATCTCCAGTCACTTAGACTAACCAGTTCCCCAGAAGACCTCAGAGAGGGCTGTTTACTTGATTTGCCGCCCTCATTTATTCCCAGGTGTAAGACGTATTACTGCCTCTTAATAATAGAACTTTAACTCAATTCCCATGTTATGAATTTAACATATATCAGATTGGACTTTATTTTGCAGTACTCAAATAAGCTACAGAGGATTAACAAAGCAGCATGGTGAGTACATTCAAAGCATTCTGCTGTTATCTCCTTTTTAGGGTCATTCTAGACCATTGCTCCCACTACAGGAAAAAAAATGCAAACAAACTTGAACTGGTCTATGTAAGAGGCATAGGACTGCTAAGGCATACCTATCGTAAATATTTGTAAAGAGGGGCCTGTAAGGGGCAAAT